TTGGTGCACAACGCGCCGGGAAAACGGACTTGCCGAATCCCTGATTTTACGACTTAAGTAGTGTGCGCCGCTTCTTGTTGCTTCCCAGCAGTTGCTTGGTTCTTGCTGACATGCGGTGCGGGTTACTGGGTTTCTGACATCACAGTTTGGGGACCGTCGTTGAATGCTGGATGAAGATTGGGTCGTTTTTCTTGAATGGACGGAGGGAAACCCTTTTCTGGCAGAATATTTCTTTCCCGACTTCCCGCCCCGAATGAGCCAACGAATCCTCATTCAGCTCGTAATACGTTTATCGTCCGACGCGACTGCACTGCCCAGCGGGCTCCACAGTGTGACGCTCCACGATCAAAAAGCGTCTCTTTCGGACGGAAGGGCTTACTCTGCTGGGAAAGGGCCAACTCTTCGATAGCTGGCTCTTGGCAACCCTGCCCCGGAGCACGTCACGCGTCAACGTGGCTGAAATACACATCAAATCGAGGGACGATGGAAGATTTTTCTGGGACCAGACAATGTAGATCACAAAGTGCAATTCGGAGCGTTTGTGAATTCAATGTTTCTTTTCGTGGCAGGGCAGAATGTCGAAGTGGCGGCCGCGTAAATTCACCGGATAGGCCGGTTTGTGACGCGGGCCGCCTGGAGTGAAGCTAAGGTCTAGGGTGGCCCCGGGGGCGCAGTGGGGCGTGGCAGCGGGGCGGGGCGGGCTGCCGACAGCTTAGCCGCGGCTTATCCTCAGACTGATTGGCGATTATGATGGATGCGATTAGGGTGGGCACCGGGAACGAGACAGCGTCAGGAAGACGACCGCCTCACCAGGAGCCGGAAATACCCGAGTCTAGCCAAGGCTCTTCCAAAACTAAACACCGGCGGGCCACCCGACACCTCCGCCTTGTGAGCAAGTTTTGAGCTGCAGCCCGCCAAAGGAGGGAGGGTGGCGTCCCTGCTCCAGGTGCAGGGAGCCAGCTCCAGGCCCTTGGCTCCCCACACTGAAAATTTTCCACTTTTTAGTAAAGACTCCATGTGTGACAAAAAAAACCTTAATCTTGACACCTGTAATTCGAAAATGATGACATTTTCATCTCAAAATATTTAAAATGTCCGATGCCATCGGTTTGTTGACACTGTCCTCAAGAAAATTGGCCTTCAAATTGTCATCAAATGGCTGCCAAAATGTTTAAGAGTAAGGGGCAACATGTTGGGAGTGACGTGACGAGGCCCGCCCTCAGGTGAACTCCTGTACCCATCAGAGCAGAGTGAATGGATGGCTGGAACTTTTAAGCCATTAGAGCAGTGTCGGAAATTTTCCGAATCGTCAGAACGCGTAGATTTATCACGCGCTGCCAGTCCAGAGGTGGATTGATTCCAACACAACAAAGTCACCGGTGCGCTTCGGCGGCAATCGAAGCATCATCAATGCGTGGCAAACACTCCGGACCCCACTTACCCAAACATTAAATCGTTGGACGCGCCAAGAGCGCTCTCGCCCGCTGCCGGACGACGCACGAGTGCGAGAGAGACCGAGCCGCGAAAGCACTCTTCGGAGTCGGCGGGTGAGCACACTGTGAGCATGCCTTGTCGGCGGGCGCCTAATGAAGGAACAGGTTATTACAGTGGAGCATCGTCGACGACAAAACTGTTGGAGAGCGACGAGGAGCAACGCGTGCTTTTTTGTGGGTTAGCCCAGAGTACCCCTTAATTACACACACTCACACACACTCACACACACTTTTACGTCGGCGCTAGCTTCCTGATAAACTCGTTTCGCACGAGTTAGCTTCCACGGCGCCTTGGGACAAGCGGCGTGCCGCAGCGCTGCAGACCGATCCCGAGAGTCGCTCTCGCTCTGTCTCTCTCGCACTCGTGGGGCGTCCCGGGGAGGTGCGAGAGAGACGGAGCGAGACGAGAACGACTCTCGGAATCCGTCCGCCGCTCCGCGCTCCGCCCTGCCTCGGGCGCAGGCAGCCGGCAGCTGAGCCTCCCGGCGAAAAGGCGGTGCATTTCCTTCGGCTTCTCCAGAAAAATTCACGCAGGGAGCTGTAATTTCGAGGTGGCGGTGTGCGTGCGATGGGTTGACCTGCCAGACGGACGGACAGACAGACAGACAGATAGACAGACTCATACAAGGCGCTGCGTGCAACGCCTCGATAGTGCCACTCCATTTGTCCCATTCTGTCTCACTTGTGGTCTCGGCTTCTGTGCCGCTTGTTGTCGGGGACACTAATGGTTTGCCTCGCCCTCCCCCCTCCTTCCTCTTTGCCCCCCCCCCTTTCCCCTTTCCCCTCATCTTCCGGACCAACCACCGAAAATGGTAAGCTGCTGAGACCAGTGCAAGGACTCACCACGATGGGTGTCCCTCAGACAGACAGACATACATGCAGACACACACACACAGACACACACAGACATACAACACCGACAGAACAACACGCATGCCCGCAGGAGGGACAGTGCCTGCGGAAATGCAGATAGGCTGCCACGCCCAAGGCGGCTCGGGGTCGGATCACTGTTCTGGTAAATGTAAGGCACAAGTGTGAAGACAATACTGCAATTTGTGAATTTCAAACAAATTTTTTCGAGCCTAAAACAAAAGTCAGGCAACCTCGTCCGTGAGGTGAGGTATTGTTTCGTTTCCAGAATAAAATTGTAAAGAACCGGGCGGATGGAGTCAGTCCGAGTTTCGTGGCCCTGACATTCAAAGCTGTGTTCTGCATTTTCCGTCCAGTGTTGGTGGGGTTGTTTATCCTGAGAGGGACCGAGCGACCCCGAAGAAAAGCCGGCAGCGAGAAAGTTGCTGCGGCAGCCATTGTCTTGACCGTTATTATCTTCTGAGGAAAAATCGGCCGTCTTGGTGGTGCCGCGGAGCAGAGGAGCCCCGCCCAGCCCACAGTGATAATTAATGGGCCCTGGAAAGCGATTATTCCCGCGACTGGGTCGGCCGGGCTGGGAGGCCCTTCACCGCCCTTCGCCCATCGGCGCCAAATTTAAGTTCACTCACCGCGAGGGCTGTGGGCTCGCTGCTGCGGGCTGCCCGATTCCCACCGCCTCATCGTACCGCTGGTTGGCTGGGGCTGACGTCCGCAGGGCCGGCCGGCCTTCTGATTGGTTCCCGCCGACAAATTGCCGCAGTTTGATCAGCTAAGTTTTGGGGCTGCTTCGTCATGGGCACGCCAACACCGGCAGCGCGGCGGCGAGAATTTTCGAGTCTTTGCTCGCCGGCGAACGGCGCAAAGGCGCGCTAACTCCTTCCGGAAGTCCCGGCGCGCCGCGGCGGCGGGGTCGGGCACCGTTACACTGTATACACGTCACCCGTCAAACAAAAACAAGTCTACTGAAAAACGACAAAAACATATGCAAATAGGATCAAGAAAAAACACTTATTGCTTTTAAAAAAAAACTTCAGTAATTCAACTGCCTATGAAAAAAAAAAAAGATTTTTTGGATCAAAACATTTTTTTTAAATCCAAGAAATCTTTTATTCTGGCTCTGCCCTCGCACTCGGCGTTCGGAAAAATAAGAAACGAGATTGATGATAAAGCTGGTCGCTAATTTGTTCGTGAAAAAATACAAAAGTCACTCGTCGCGCTTTGAACCCTCGACCTATCGCAGCGGTTCCCAACCTTTTGCGGTTCGCGACCCCAAATTTGTAGCCAAAACTTTCCGCGACCCCCAGGAAAAATTTCGCGACCCCACGCGACCCCTCCTTTAGCATGCCTTTGTTATGGAGTGCGATTATCTGCCTTAGTTTGGGAGCAGTATTGCCGCAAAGTTGATCAAAACGGTCACAAATGTCTTAAAAAATCGTGTTTTGGGCCGACTTTAAGCATCTACTGCGTCTGATCCGAGGCGGTAAATCGTCCTCCCTCAACGGGCAATTGGTCTTTGGACCTTCCTTTTGCATGCCTTTGTTACGGAGTGCGATTATCTGCCTTAGTTTGGGAGCAGTTTTGCCACAAAGTTGATCAAAACACGATTTTTCAGACATTTGTGACCGTTTTGATCAACTTTGCGGCAAAACTGTTCCCAAACTAAGGCACATAATCGCACTCCGTAACAAAGGCATGCTAAGGTAAGGTCTAAAGACCAATTGCCCGTTGACGTAGGACGATTTACCGCCTCGGATCAGACGCAGTGGATGCTTAAAGTCGGCCCAAAACACGATTTTTTTACAGACATTTGTGACCGTTTAGACCAACTTTGCGGCAGTACTGCTTCCAAACTAAGGCAGATAATCTTACTCCGTAACAAAGGCATGCAAAAGGAAGGTCCAAAGACCAATTGCCCGTTGAGGGAGGACGATTTACCGCCTCGGATCAGACGCGGTGGATGCTTAAAGTCGGCCCAAAACACGATCTTTTACAGACATTTGTGACCGTTTTGATCAACTTTGCGGCATTTAAGCAGCCAGTGCTCGGCGTGTGGGCCAGCCGGGAAAACACCGCGACCCCAGGCGACCCCAGCCACCTCGCCGCGACCCCTCGAAATTTTTTCGCGACCCCATTTGGGGTCGCGACCCCAAGGTTGGGAACCGCTGACCTATCGCAATGCCCCCGAAAATGCCCGCACGTCACGCCGGGGCGCCGCTCCGCTGGCCTACATCCGACCTACATCGATGCGCTTATCACACCGTGCCTGCGCTGCGCGGGGCTACGCGCCGCTCGCTACGTACGGACCGAATCTTCGCCGCGCGGCGGTAAATAGATGGAGACATAATAGCGGCCTGACGGGCGTGGCGGCGTGGCGGTGTGGCTCGCGGGCCCCGGGGGCAGCAGGGCGTGCCAGAGAGAAAGAGAGGGGGGCGTGGTCGCGAGCGCTAAAAACCACAGCCAACACAAGTGGCCGATTGTGGCGATTGTGGCTGATAAATCATGAGCAACAGCCTTGCATTGTGCCGACAGGCTCAAGTGGCGATAACTTCATCGGATCGGCGTGGCACAGCGTGGCGCGGCCGTTCCCCCGTTTCTGACCTGTTTTTTCTAACGCGTTGTCTATCCGTTGTGTTGCAGACGAATGCAGGCGTCTCCCTGCTCATCGGCCTTGGACTTCCCTGGACAGGTGAGTCGGCCCGCCAGGCCCGCCAGCAGCCACCAATTTCCTCGCGTTATTTTCAATGGCCTGAGCTGTCAGCTCCGTTATAGTTAACTCCATATCGTGTATTCTATTTTTTTTCGGGTGGGTTTTTTATTTACTTAACAAATTACTTTATAGCCTGAATGTAAATTTCACTCTACTTGCGTCACCTAGTGGGATTCCCGAAAAGTACGGCCGACACCGAGGGGGTATGCGCTCTCTGAACCTGTGTACCGACTATTACGCTATTACGCTCTATTACGCCACAAATTAATCGGAATTTAGCTAAAAACGGCCTAAAACACACCAAAACTGATAAAATTTTGACAATTTCGGCTATTACGCGACTATTACGCGTATTATTACGCGTGCTATTACAGATAGAGTGAACCGACTATTACGCGAGTGCATACCCCCTCGGCCGACACTATGGAAAATTTCGAAACAGAGAGTGTGTACAAGAAGCCGAACGACACCAGAGTTCGTGCGAAAAATTCGAAGCAAGTCGAGGTTAGTCTCTCTGCGAATGTTCGAAATTATCTCACGAAGCATGAAGCGCTCAAGTGCGTGTCGTCTCCGAGAGGACGTGCCTTCGACCCCGGAAGCTGTCCCGCTTGCAGTGTGTCCGTCGAACGTCAATTACACGCCACTGCACTCCGACATTACCTCTGTGTCATTGCGGGCCGCTGTCTCTCTCGCACCAGTGTGGGACGCCCCGTGAGTGCGAGAGAGACGGAGCGTTCCCGCACACTGCAATCTGTGGGCCGCATATCTCAAGCGAAGGGCGAGCGCCCGGCGGGTAGGCATCCACCGGGCACGGCGGTGTTGCGGGCCGGCCTGCCTGCACGGCGCTCCCTCCGCGGGGCAGCCTCCGCGTCAGTTTGTCTGAAAAAAAAAGAAGCAAAAGAAGGGAGGAAAAAAAATGAAAGACTAATTTTTTGAAAAATTAATCCTGCTACACCCCAAAGGCTAAAAAATTAAAGAGTCTTTGTAAAATCAAAATAAAAATCCAGCTTGCTTTCCTTGTCTACCCTTCCTCCTCCTTCTCGGCTGTCAAGGCGAGCTCTTGGAGGTGCCGCTAGGCCGCGAGGACTCGGGGACGCGGGACGTGGGTTCGCGCCCCGTCCGGGGATAAGAGGCTCCGTGATGAACTGCCTGCTTTCCGCCATTTGTCCCGCATTTGCTGCAGCCTGCCTGAGGCTGCCTGAGGCAGCAGCCTAAGCGGGCAGGACGGGCCGCATCACCAGGGCTCGACCAGCGGGGCAAGGTCGAGTCAGTCCCACCGCCTTGCTTGGGCCGCTGCCAAACCACCCCGCCCCGCCCCGCCCCGCCCGAATCGGGCGGCCACGCGCGCGCTCCAGACCGCCTTCTTTTTGCAGCATTCTTTCGTCGGAGACAGGCTGCGGCAGAAGCAAAGCGATCCACTGCACGAAAACGACAGACTGAGGGGACGGACAATTACCACTGTGCAGGACGGCGATCATGTCATCGCGTTCACTGAAAATACAGAAGAGTAGCTACAGACACTATAAAACAAACACGCGGCGAAACAGAGTATGAGGAGATTCTCCACAAGGAAGAAAGAGGCACCTCTCTGCAAATCCCCCGCCCCACTTAGATGCTTTACTTAGGCCCGGGCGAGCTGAGAGGATGACCTCAACCCCTTTCCACCCCCGCGCAAGCCCTCCGCTCCGAGCCAACACTTTATCCCATGTCCTGAACGACAACCAACGCAGCAGCCACCGCGACGACAGCCACTGTCACCGCCACCGGCGCAAACTTAGTCAAGACATGTGTATGCAAAACATTCCTTCTGTTTGCCGGCTCTCGCCACACACACACACACTCACACTCACACACACACACACACACGTGCGTGAGAACACGTAGGCCCGCATGCCTAGCCTAGCCACGCGATATTAATTTCGCTTGTAAACTGCACGACAGCGCAACCCGGCCGCGCGCGGCGGCTCAAGAGGAGTGGAGCACACACTGTGGAGGGCACCCTCCCTCCTTTTTTGCCCACCCCTCTCGAGGGGCGAAACCCGAGCGGATTGGCCATCCACACCTCGGGGAGGCCGGGCCGTCGAACCTTCGGGCCACTGCCCGGCGTGCATAGGACACGAGCCCCGCACGAGTCCTTGCGGCTTGAGGCCCGATCTCGGTTCGGCGCCCCAGGTCTCAGCCGAGCCCCCGTTGGGGCTAGGTCAGGGTGGGGCTCAGGTGACGCCCCACCGGGGTGCAACCGGGACGGCGCTCGTGCGGACGCAGCGAGCCATCAGTCCGCCAGCAGTGCTCTGTCTCTCTTGCACCCCTCTGGGACGCCGGACAAGAGCGAGAGAGACGAAAGAGCTCCAGGCGAGGCCGAGTGGCGCACTCATTAGGGTGTTTTTCGTAACGGGATTCCGAAATGGCGGAATAATGAAATGCCGCCCCTGGCTCGGCCTGGCCTGGCCTGGCCGGTGCGCTGATAAAAGAAAGCGGATCTCCATTCGAGACGAGCCCGGCTTGCGCTTGGCGGCGCACAGTGGGCCAGAAGGCCGGTGGAGGCCGTCATAATCCTGGACGTGTTTGCATCTCCAGAGTCACTAAATGGGACTCGAGCCGAACGTGTGACCCCACCAATGGATTGCTCTCCGAACGAGGAATCCATCGGTGGGGTCACACGATCGCTTCGAGTCCTGTTTAGTGACTCTGGAGCTCAAAACGCTTTTGGAGTTTCGGCCGCCGCCACCGGCCTTCTGGCCCACTGTGCGACGAGTCACCGCACAGGTGCCTCCACGGCCCACAGTGTGCCTCCGCGACGGGGCCATCGCCATGCCCGGCACGTCGCGAGGTGAGGGCCCGGCGAAACGACCCGGTGCAAGATGCTGGGGTCCTTGTGGGGCTGCCGATACACTCGCCGTGCCGTGCCGTGCCGCGCCGTGCCGCGACGTCGTCTGCTGCAGACAATTGGGCGTGGCTAGCCTTCTAGACCATCGCGGGGTACGTCTGGCGTAGCGAGGTGACCGACCCGATTTCGTTACGGATTCCCCTTCGGCTGGCCTCGCCGCGTCCCTTCCCCTCCCCTCCCTTCCCCTCCCCTCCCCTCCCCTCCCCTCCCCCTCCCCTCCCCCGGCCAGATTTTTTCCCGCCAAACGGGCCGCCGTGACTCCTGTTCATCATCCAGGGGAGCGGCGCGGCGCGCAAACTCTCCAGAAAAGGATATACCCTCATCGCTCATCCGGAGAAAATATTTCAACTTTTTTTTTGTCCAGCGACGAATGTTAATTGCGCCGTGGGTCTGAATATTCCCTGAGCCGCTCGCGATGCAGAGAGAGAGAGAGAGAGAGAGAGAGAGAGAGAGAGAGAGAGAGAGAGAGAGAGAGAGAGAGAGAGCAGACTGTGAAGGGCGGCTTTGCGGCGCGTGAACTCCGACAGGGCTCCCCGCCTTAGTTTCCCTCTGTCTCTCATAACTTGGCGGATAACGCTACATAACTTTGTCATTTGGATTGTCGGGCATCGGAAGGGCGACGCGGAAAAGTCACGCGTAATTACTAATTAGTTCTAAGCCGCCGTCAAGCCGTAATAGATAGGGCCCAGCGCGAGATAGGGATTGCACTTAGCGTAACTCCGCAAAAGAAAAAAATCTGATTTTTTAAAAAAAAGTACGGGCTTTTCTGACTAGTTATTCATGAGTATCTCATGTAAACTGGTAAAGGTACCTCCGTAGTAGGCAAGGCTCGGAAGGTGGTGAATAATTCAAAATAATTCAAATAATTCAAAATAGTTCAGTGGTATTGTCAGAACATGTTCCAAAAATTTTCTGTACTGTTTTCTAACAGTGTTGTGCTGGCTCACTAGGGCAGTGTAAGTGCACGGCAATATTGCTGGGGTTCCTGGAGTCTGGAAAGCCCGGGGTGGAAAAGCGTCACCATGAATTGGAGATGAGAAAATGCAAAAAGTGAATATGCAGGCCCGCAGGCTTTGGGTGCCGTGGGGCTCCCGTTCTCGGCACTGTAAAGTGGGGACGCTAGCGGTGCAGTGGAATCCACGTGCTCCGAAAACGAGACGCGATTTTTCACCGGTTTTCCCTCAAAACAAAAACGGCGGGAAAAGGGAGCAGAAGAAAAGCAGCATTCTTTTGTGCCAGTAAATCCCACCGCCGCCTTGCCGCCGTGCCCACCGCCAAGTTCTGCGCCGCCCTTGCTTTCTGCTCTTCGCCCCGACACGGTTTTGAGCCGCGCGATTTATACTCGTAATTTCGACGCCACGGTCCGCCAGTGACACATTCGCTCACACAGCGTGGTGTATGGATGTGTCGCGTTGCACGGTGGGCCACAGGGCCGGTGGAGGCGGCCGAAACTCTAGTCGCGTTTTGAGCTCCAGAGTCGCTGAACAGGACTCGAATCGAGCGTATGACCCCATCAATGGATTCCTCGTTCGGAGAGCAATCCATTGGTGGGGTCACACGGTCGCTTCGGCGAAGTTCGCAGGTTCATTTTTACTGTGCGGCACCGCGCGACCACTCAACAAGTACAGTACTGCGCCCCGATGGGGGCTTCCTCACTTTTAACTGGCCTTGCACGCCACGGCCGGCCAGGCGGCCAGGCGGCCTGGCTCACCCCTTTCCGACCCCGCAGCCCCGCAGCACCGCTGCATAAGTTCTCTCGGAACGGCGCGGCCTTCCGCTCGGGCTAACGTTTATGGCGCGAGCAGCAACATCCTTCTGGTCAGAACCGGAGGTGGATGGGATGGAGGTTGGGGAGGGGGAGGGAGAGTGGCGAAGCGGTTGTCAAGACATTATGCTCATAACCACGGCGTGTGCAGATGCAGCACTCTCGCTTCAGACTTCAGCCTCGGGGTTGGTGGGTCGGTGGTGAGAAGAGTGGCCTAACAAGTAGGTCGCCTGCGCAGGGTACTGGCACTCGCAGTGGTCATGGGGGCCGCTCGGGAAAAGTTGCCGCGGTCGTCAAAACTCCGCCATTTTTTTAATGTTTTGTTTT